ACGATCCCATGGCACTATTTCAAAGAAGAGCAGGAGAATTGTCCCCAGAGCCCTGTCGAACATTTATGTCTCAACATTGCAAAAACAGGTTATCTATTAATTATCACTGCGGTTTCTGGGAGTTTGCTAGGCACATATAAGGAGCCACATTTCCCACATTAGAATTGCGACAACACTACAAGAAGTACTACATTGGCTATAAGATGTTTCAAGATATAAAAAGGCCATATGTAAGTCTCTCCTTTATTTAGTTTTTTCCAACGTCTGTTCCAAAGAGAACAACCAATTGCCACATTCAGATGTCAGATCAGTAAAGCGTCCGATCCCAGCACAATAACTAGACTACGTGTACAAAATGGTAATGAGTATAACATAAACACAAACAGAAATCCGCCATGAACATAGGATTGCATGAGCTTTTTGTTATCTTTGTAATCCTGCCTCAAAACATCCACCTTCCAAAACTAATCAGTCGCAGCATAAATGCCACAAATGGTAGAATTCTGAAGCAAAAACAAGGAATGCACGAAATACGCAATATACCAATTAGCGACCAGTTAACATTTCAGGCACTAACATCTGAATTAATGATTGAACCTAGTCAAAACATTAACCTTTCACCAACAGATATATTTTCTGAACATTGTATGAAAAACAGCAGTACCGTCCGTGATCATTTACCCTTCTCACAACAATTCAGTCACATGTTAACTTTCAAGGCACTGCTGATTCAATGTTAGCATTTAATTGAGATAGTTTCATAGCCAGTCTCAGTCTCAAAAATAATTAACATTTATAGAATGCCTTTAAAACATTCTCAATGATACAACAGTGGAGAAATGAGAGGTCCTGAGTTCAAGTACAATGTTTTACAAATGCAGCTGCTTTTGCTCTTTTCTGAGATGAAGGTGATTCATGGAGGGAAAAACAGGTGCACTACTGGAATAGAGGTTTTATAGGTGGCTCAGAAAGGAGCATTTATTGTCCAGAAGGGGCTCTGGAAAATCTAGTGAGGTATAGCAACCAAAGGAGAGCAATTTCATTGGAAAAGCTACTCATACAAACAAATGGAATTTAAGCCACATTTACAAAGACAGGCATGAAATAAACACTGACGATACTGCTCATTTCAAAAATGAAATTAAAACCATTACACAAAACAAAGAGACAGGCAGTAATCAACATAAGAATGAAGTGCAAACAGCAAATCATATGGAGCGGTACTCCACTGGGGATCTACGTAAAGAATTTACTTCAATATTATAACAAACCTTTTTAGTCTGACATAACACAGTCATGATGCTAAGATGACAATTCTCAATATTCCTCACTCAATTCATATTCACAGATAGTGACAAAGGGAACTGCAGGCTTCCACAATACAAACCCTCCTGAATGTTTAATAATAATTTTATTTTCACAATATAATTTATATAATGAAATCTAGATCTCATCTTTATGAAAGGCCTCCTTCAGCAGGTCAGTCAGAAATCACAACAAAGGCAGGAAATGTTAAAATAGTAGCAACAAGAAACATATGTTCGTGACAGTGACAGCGTACCCACCCCTCCTTTCAGCAGCACCAGCTGCTTTAATGAAATCTTTATTTTACATGTTGGCCTTTAGCACTGGCAGCATGACTGCAGATTCCTGTTTTCCTTGAGGTGACATCTCAACCACATGACCATTGTGCTAACAGGGTTATGGTCCTGGCTTGTATCTAACAAAAACAGAAGCAACATAGCTGTCTGCCATCTGGCACTTTCGTCGCTGGCTTTTTCAGCATTATCTATTTATTTAAATGTATCCTCTCCAGTTAATGACAAGTCACAGTCACACTTGTACCATCTATTATTCAAGTGAAAGAGGAGACCAAATGTTATTGACCTTTTCAAATTTAAAGTTGATTGCCAGCTGCAACTCAGTGGAGTGCACTCTTGGCTCTGAGGTAGAACATTAGGGATACAAGACCCATTCAAGATATTTAAGTAGGAAACCTAAGCTGATGCTCTCGTGCAGCACTGAGAGAATGTTGCACTGTTGGAGGTGCCATTTCTCAAAGAAGGCCCTCATTATCTTGAGGTATACAGTTACATGGAAAAGCAATGGAGTTTTCCCCAGCGTCTTGGTCAATTTACTCTTCAACCAACTTCACTAAAAATAGTTACTATCACAAATTGGCAATTACAAATGTCCTATAGTACGAGCGTGACTGCACTTCAAAAGTACTTCATTGGTTGCTCAGCACTTTGGTATGACCTAGGGTCATGAAAGGACTAAATAAATGCAAGCATTTTCTTTCTTTCCCCTATCACAGTGGTATCAACACAAGCTGCTGTCACCGGAGCACTGAAATCACTAATGTTTAAAGAAGGGATGCTTTTCGGTTCAGTGGTTTGTCTGAAATTACTGTCATTGAAGCTTTACGTCAATGACCCTTCAACTACACTCTTCAAGAATTTTGATTGGTATGCACCAGAAGGGCCTAAAATTAGGTTAGAATATGCCAGGCCCAAGTCCAAGTCAGGGGAGCCAGTCTGTTGAGGACAATGACTCCACCAAAAAAGGTGTCAGCCCAAGCCCAATGTTAACATACTGGCCTCAGAGTCAACAGGTTGCGGGATAGACTCTTCCTGCAAACACTTGGGCGTAATATTCAGATTGCCAGTCCAGTTCAATACCAAGGGAGCACCGAATGATCACAGCATAATTTTTCAGATGAGACAAACTGAAGTCCTATGCCTGTCCTCTCAAAGATGTAGAAGATCACATGGCTCTCTTTCAAGGAATAGCAGGGGAATTAACTCTGGTGTCCTGGCCAACATTTATCATTCAACCTACATCACTAAAAACAAGTTATCTGGTCATTTTCACGGAGTTGCTTGTGGGGGTTTTCTGCGTGCAAAATGGCTGACCCATTTCTATACTACATCACTTCAACAATGGTGGTACTCGGTGATTTCTGAGATTGCGAAAAGTGCTACATAATGCACTCGACTGGTATAAGGGGCTGGAGACTATTCCCAAAATTGGGAATTCCCACATTAGGAATTCCAAATCCTGTTTCTCAGAAGATGCCTGGTTCAGGATTAGTGACAGTATAGCTGGTGAAATCAAAAAGAAGTGCTGATTGCAGGCAAAAATCAGTCTTCCTAGAATTCCAGGTTGAAATTATGGTACAAATCACTGAAGGAAAATACTATTAACATTTAGTAAATATCATATTAATCCATCTGTGCAACTGAGGAGGGTCTCGACACCAGCTGTGTCCAACTTGGCTTTAGCATTTCCTACATAACAATGACTGCAAAAATATTTTATGGGCCATAAAAAGGTGCTTTAAGCATCCCAAGGTCAAAACACAAGAGACAGAAATGCAAGATTTTACTTTTGGCATTCTCTGACATAGCACAACAGTCTCTGGCAGAATACCTTCCCGTGGAGGGTGTCACAATCTTAGTGAAATTTCAATAATGAGCTCATTTATGTGGCATTTATAATGAAATAGCTTCTGTTGTATATTTTATATCATTTTCACCATTAGAAAGTTCTACAGAGCATTCAATATGTTGAAATGCAGAGTAGGGGAGGCAATGTTGGTTATATTTGAACCTCAAAATATTTAAGTATTGAAAGGGTTAAACTAGCTTCAACATTATTTATGAATATGGTTATTTCTATCGAGCTAGAAAACTAGGTTCAAAGTAACCTGACACATCACTTGAAAAGCTGACAATTCAAGAACAGCCCTGATGTATGAAAACAAGTTGTTAAACAGGTTATGAAACCACGGAGAAGTGCACAAACCTCCTTGTACTGGAGGAAACAAACGTTATGCATACGGAAGTCATTTAGCTTAATCCAAATGCTGCAGGTATAATACATGCTTTGCACTTCTGCAGTTTGGAAGGTCTGTACCTGCTTGAGATCAATAAATGTTATTTCAACTGTCACATTCCCATATCCAATAAACTCCATCTCACTGTCTCAGTTCACAAAGGTACTCTTAAGTTCTTCAGTTGCAAAGTCACTGCACCTCAGTCAGTCCCCTCCTCTTTTGTGGAAGTATTCTCTTCATCCAACTCTCTCAGTTTATTCTCACTGTCATAAACTCTCCCTTCCAATCCAACTCCTTCAAGCTGGTATGCTTTATTTATTATCACCCCACACCTACCTCAAAACTACTGAAACTGGTAACTTTCCTTCTAGCCCCCAGAGTGCTCGCCACCAACCTTGCCCAATTTAATTGCCTCCTTCCTCCTCACCATTTCTTAGCTTCGCCCCTTTCCCATTACATTCCGAACACAGCTTCTGTTCTTGTTCCTTTACCATTTATTACTACCCATTACGGTCTCCTTGTTATTGCCATCTGTTTAATTCCCTTTTCATTTCCATATATTTTCTCCCCTTTTCACTATTACCTTTACCACTTATAATTCCAAACATCACTACAATCACTTCTCCTTTCACTGGTATCCACTTTGATTCCTGCTCTTCAAAGTTTTCCCTCTACTGGAGATGATTTCAGCTTCCTCCCATTGCTGTCTATTTCTGCCAAGCCCTCCTCACATTTTCCTCCTATCCTATCTTGCTGTAGTTTAGAGTTTTCCGGCTCTGGGTAGGTCGTGCTCTCTTTCTTGGCTTTGCTACCTTGGCATACTGCAAGTTGGAACTCTGGAAAGAGATTCTACCCAAAGTTCACGAATGCAGCACTGCTGTCATGACCACTGGGAGTACGCCAAGATGAGAAGTGGGAGCTGTCCAATATATTACCCACCATATTGAAGAACTGAATAGGAGTAAGGCTAGAGGAGGAACAGGGTTGCTCTAACAAACACTGGCACACTGACACAAACAATAAGACTGATGCTTAGCATATATGCGCGATGTCTCTTAAAAATTAAAGACTACATCAGATAAATGCATAATTTTCATTCATACAAAATGGAAAAATAAATTTCAACTCACTCTAGGCAATTAAAATAAAAGAATTTACTTACTTAAATGGACTAAACAAAAAGGACAGTGTGGTCTCTTTTTTGTGAATCATCTTCACCTGTAAAATAATAAAAAGTTTCAAAATATGTTCCATATCCAAGAGTTTTTTGGCATTCATACATCAGCAATATTCACTATCCTCCTTTTTGTACAACTCGAGAGGTGTCCCGATGTTAAAAGTAGTGCAGCACTGATACGCGCAGGGAGATACAGGAAGTAACTATTACCACAAAATTAATGCAATGTTAATAAAATGTGACTTAAAACTAAGGTTTCAAAAACATCATTAATACTCTGCACATCCATCCTTGCTAATTCCCCTTCAATTCCTTAACTAATGGCTCTCCAAATTTAATGACTTTTTAAATTTCTGATTTCTTTACAATAATCTCACTCAGTGGACAGAATTTTACAGATGGCAGGTTTCCCTCCCCGCAACCTGAACAGTTAGTGGGGCAGGGGGAGGATGGCAGGAAATTCCACCCGCTTCCACTTGCAAACCCACTGGCCAAAAGGGGGAGGTATGGATCGTAAGATTCTGCCCACAATATTCCACATCATGCACTTATAAATTCGACAGACTGGAAGAACAAAATTCTACTCTTTTGACCAGGGGCCTTTCACTAAAATAATAAACTTCTTTTTTGAAAAGGGTTTAGTTTAACCTGGAGACTCTGAATTTCCTCAGCTGTCCGAACCATTTGCCAAAATTTCAATCATTTGGACCTTTGCAGCAGGAGGTCAGACAATCCTGCAGAGATTCGGAGCCAGACTGCACGTTGCCAAAGGCATTGCCAAAAAGTAATCATTGAATTTCCCTTATTGGGAACTTCTGCCCACACTTTCAATTGAGCCATGATCCTGTGTTAGCTTCACTGGTTTAACAAGGTGGGTATTCAAAAGGGTTCTCACCACCAAGAGGAAGCCGACCCAGGAAGACCCATGTGGAGGGAAGCAGGGGCCTGGGACCGGGGGTGGGGGGCGTGGTGGTGGTGTGGAGGGGAGAGATGCGGACCAGCTCCTGTTCCCATAGCCTTAAAGCCTAATAAGGGGCAGCTCGGTGGCTGTGGCTAGTACAGCTGCCTCACAGCACCAGGGACCCGAGTTCAATACCAGCCTCGGGCAGCTGTCTGTATGAAGTTTGCATATTCTCCCTGTGTCTGCTTGGGTTTCCTCCGGGTGCTCTGGTTTCGTCCCACAGTCTAAAGATGTGCAGGGTAGGTGGATTAGCCATGATAAATTGCCTATAGTGTCCAGAGAAGTGTAAGGTAGGTGCATTAACAGGGTTACAGGGATAGGATAGGTGGATGAGTCTGGGTGGAATGCTCTTCGAAGAGTTGGTGTGGACTTGTAGGGCTGAATGGCCTGTTTCTACACTGTAGGGATTCTAAAACAAAAGACTGGGAACAGGTGTAGCAGGAATAGGAAAGTAACTTTAAAAAGGGACAGAGCTAACCAACTAAGGTGGTTGCAAACCACATCATGAGGCCAAAAAGCTTTTATAAAAACTCCTCCTTCCATTTTGGACATTGTGGACAGTTATACCACCACCTTGGTCTATCAGCTTCTAACTGGGCAATAGTGGAATGAGGTAAAAATGGGAGGTAACTAGGTGAGAAGACCAAACCACATTCCCAAGCAGCATTCATTTACAATAGTCCAGCAAAGCAGAGAGAGTGAAATCCATGGTTGGCATGGCTTTCTGCGCTATTATTTATGATACCAGCCACCAACTGTGGAATGGCATAGGAGATAAAATTCCAGTTCAATTAATCATGAATTATGTTTTCATAAAAATTTACTCATGTAATCCCAAAGCTGGAGTGTTATTAAAGCTACTGCACTGATCCAACAAAAAATGAACAACATTCTTGCCATCACTTTTGGCTTATATGTCAACTTAACTCGATTCAGAATCAAATAATATCCACTTAAGTAAGCTCTCAGAAAATTTTGCTGTGATTTTGAATTGTTTACTGCTACGATCCAGCCCATAAACGTGAATAATAATATACAGAAACATTGTCTGAGGATCTGAATCACCCTCTCAACAAACCAGTTTGTTGGGTTAGTATTTAAACTTCAAAACAAAAATAATGTTTAATAATAACAAATTTCATACCGTAAACTGTTCCAATATTTGCATAGTATTTGTTAGTATGCATTCAGCTTTAAACTGGTTGCTGTTGTTTAAGTATTCCAAAGGTAAAATGCCCTATGAGAAACATAATATGTTTGACAAATTGAAACATGAACCACAAAAGTAAAACCTAAAATATCTGAACCAACTGCTTTAAGTTAAGTTATTTTAATACATTCTAATGGCATCAGTTTACTCAGGCTACGTTTATTGAGTACACAGTGCCTCTCTCAGTTTTACTTAAAATATAGTTAACAATATGAAGCAGTTTATCAACAAGATAAAGAAAATAGTTAGATTGCCTAAGCAAGACAGCTATTAGATTTCACAACATGTCTTGTATTCTTGAATAATTAGATTCACTTTCTCATTCAATGCATTGTAAATTTATAATGTGCTGAATTCAAACAGATGAAAAGTCTAACAGAAGTAGTGAATCAGAGATAGTAGGAACTAGATGCTGGAGAATCCGAGACAACAAGGTGCAGGGCTGGATGAACACAGCAGGCCAAGCAGCCTCATAGGAGCAGAGAGGCTGACGTTTCGGGCCTAGACCCTTCATCAGAAAAGGGT